ATGGAGTGGGTTGGGGGAATCTCCTGTGCCCAGGGTTGCAAAGATCTGTGGCAGAAGTGTGGGACCCTGGGAGCTCTCACTCACTTGCTGTTTCCCCTCCGTGGGGAACCTACCATGGCTCTACACCAATCCCAGGTGGGCAACTGTCCTGTCTCAGACTTCCCTCTTCTCCATGGGTCATGTTACTTCCTATATGAATCCCAATGTGTCCTCCTGGACAAGCCAGTTGATAAGCTAGTGTTTATTTGCCACTCTATCTCCTCTCCGTGAAAGCAGCATACACTAGCTGCTTCTAGTCAGACATCTGGGCACTCTCTAATAGAGTTTTGAACATTGTGTTATTTAAATAGGATTTATATTGATTCTTCTTTCTACGATAGCAATAGGAAGATGACTAAATAATTTGGACAACAGCTTTTTTGATTTATTTTGTCAACAATTAACAGTCACATAGCAATAATAGCTCACATTCATTTTGTCTTTTACAGTTGACAAGATTTTTAATATCATAATATTCATTGACACTTCCTTGTTCATCTGACTCCTATTATGCAAATATATAGTCCCTCTAATAAGGCAAGAAACTTACATGTGAGATGAAGAAAAAGGATAAGAGGGTCAAGCTCTCTGTTCCACACATTTAGAGGGAGGCTTTCCTCAATAAAATCTTATTCCTTACCACCAAATTCCATACAGGATTTTTCTTTTCTTCTTTTTTTTTTTTTTTTTTTTGCTTTTTGCTTTTCCGTGACCTTTCCTAACCTCCAAACTTTATGTTTTTATTCTTTTTTAAATGTTTCTAATCCATTTTATTCTTATAGCTATAGAGAGGTAGCTTTTGTTCTTATCCTCTGTTCTACATTCTGTTCTTAAAGTCTAATTCCAACTACTTTTACATTTATAACTTTTAACCTCGTGGATATTACAACTTCATAAAAACATTAAATATTTGGTATTTGTTTTAGCTTTTATATTTTATTTTACTTGCATCTATTTTATCTACTTTAAAACTATTAAAATTACTGACATTTTCTTTTTTTTAATTATACTTTATGTTCCAGGGTACATGTGCACAACGCACAGGTTTGTTACATATGTATACATGTGCCATGTTGGTGTGCTGCACCCATTAACTCATCATTTACATTAGGTATATCTCCTAATGCTATCCCTCCCCCCTCCCCCCTCCCCCCACCCCACCCCACAATAGGCCCCCGTGTGTGATGTTCCGCTTCCTGTGTCCAAGTGATCTCATTGTTCAATTCCCACCTATGAGTGAGAACTTGTGGTGTTTGGTTTTCTGTTCTTGCGATAGTTTGCTGAGAATGATGGTTTTCAGCTGCATCCATGTCCCTACAAAGGACACGAACTCATCCTTTTTTATGGCTGCATAGTATTCCATGGTGTATATGTGCCACATTTTCTTAATCCAGTCTGTCACTTATGGACATTTGGGTTAATTCCAAGTCTTTGCTATTGTGAATAGTGCTGCAGTAAACATATGTGTGCATGTGTCTTTATAGCAGTATGATTTATAATCCTTTGGGTATATACACAGTAATGGGATGGCTGGGTCATATGGTACTTCTAGTTCTAGATCCTTGAGGAATCGCCACTGTTTTCCACAATGGTTGAACTAGTTTACAGTCCCACCAACAGTGTGAACGTGTTCCTATTTCTCATAAACTCTTTCGTTTCCTTTTTGGAAAAATGTTTTAAAAAATATAATGACCTGCAAGAAACATGATAAGAGTAGATAATCCATTCAAAAAATAGCTAATTTTCTGTCTCACTTTAATAAAAATTCATTACAAGAAAAGACTATTTTTTTAAAAATCTATGCCTAGACACTCAGCAGAAGTATGTTTAAGCCAGCTTCTAGTCAATAAGTCTTATAATGATGGTGATACATAATTTCTTTGTTGGAAGGATTTTCTAGTAGTCCTTGTGTCAAGAGTTTCTAAACAGCCATTGGATTTCAAGAAAATGATCCAAACCAAATGTCATGAACCAGGAGGGATAGAACTATAGAATTAATAGGGAAAGACAATTGGCCTTTAGCAAATTAAGTTCCTCAAACTACTCCTTTTTAGTTTTCTTATTTTCCAGTCAATTTTCCACTCTTTTATTAAGATAAAAGGAAACGTTGGTTATGTAATTTCCCCTAAGTTTTTGTGCAATTCTTTCCCTAATCTAAAATCAGAGATATCTCACATAAGCCGAGTTCAAGATCAGCCTGGGCAACACAGTGAGATTTCTCTACATAAAATTTAAAAATTAGCTGGGTATGGTGATGTGCACCTACAGTCCCAGCTACTCAGGAGACTGAGGGAGACTGAGGTTGCAGTGAGCCATGATCATGCTGCTACATTCCAGCCTGGGTGACAGAGTGAGACCGTGTTTCAAAAAAAAAAAAAGGAAAATAATCAAACATTTTAAAAATTCTTTTTAACATTCTTATGATAGTAGTTTACATGAAGTCTTTGTTTACCACATCCAACATCTGAGCGACCTCAGAGACAGTTTGTACTGACTTTTTTCTTTATATGAGTCACATGTTCTTCTTTCTTCGCATTTTTCATGAGATTTTGTTGAAAACTGGACACTTCAAATAATACATTGTAGCTTTTCTGGATTCTGACTTCCACCCGCAGGAGTTGCGTTGTTGCTATTTTCTGTCCTTTGTTTATTACTTTTCAGGACTAATTAAATAAATTCTATCTCCCTGAGAGTGTGCAGCCACTGAAGCCTCTGTTCTATTTTTAATTATTTTCTTCATTTTTAAGCCTGGCTTCCCAGGAGTCGCCCAGGGTCAGCATATCTTGATGGCCACCCAATAATTGGGCAGGGGTTTTACTTAAATGTCTTGAGTCAGTAGGGCTTCCAATTTTTGCTAAGGGGATCTGTACATGGATTGGATCACATATTCAAGTTTCAGGCAGTTTACAGGCTGCTTTGACTTTCACTTTCTGTTTATGTAGGGACTTGTGCTCAGCCAGGAACCAGCAGGTAACTGGGGCCATCTCTGACCTCTCCTGAGTGTGGGAAGCCTTTCAGATCCCCATGAATATATTAAGGCTTTCAAAGCCCAGTATCATTGGCCAGATGTATATTTTACATTTTTGGCTGGTTTACTGTTTACCCTAACCAGTATTGCTGCCTTCGGTGGCTGTGATGCCTGTCTTTTCCAAAGATTTGCCACTAATATTGTAATTGCTAACTAAATGCCCCAGGACTTTTCCATGGAGCTCCAAACTAGATCAACCACGTCAAGTGGCAGGAAGACCATTAGCCTTCACTGTTACCAAGACATGGAGGGTAGGGAAGGAAGAAAAGACAATGGATGCAGTCCCAAATTTAAATGCCACAGACCCTACTCTTCTAACCGATGTTCAAGAACACTTGAATAAGTGCTTTCAATTTACTGTATGCCTTTGCTTAATTTCCAGAGTTTCAAAATAGTTGGTGACAATTCTGCCACTTTTACCACCACATTTTGGAGGTCAGGATTTTCCACGTTTCTCACTCTGAAATTCTAAAAGTTCCACCTTCTGATAAACTTTAAAAAGAAATCAGATATCATCTAGTTATCTACTCAGATAGATGTTATTCAGAAGTCTAAGATTGTTACCAGGCATTATATTATTTTATATCCTGTCTAACAATAATAATAATAAAATCCTCCATTTCCAAGTAAGAAGAATTGGAATTGGCTTTTTTTTTTCCTTTCTGGCAGTAAACTTAAAACAAAAAAACTTTAAAACACTCATGTTTAAATTTTTTGAAGTGTTTTTAATAATTGTGTGTTAATTTTTAACAATATGAAAGAGATTATAACTAATTGGCTTCTGTATTGTTAAAATATATATACATGTAATATTTTGATAAAAATTAAAGCTAAATAAAAATCTGAATTAAATGTAACCAATTAGGAGGGATGGCTTTTGATTTGATTAAAAGATAAACACAGAATAGAAACAAGTAAACATATTTCTGATTTTATACAACATATACATTTGTTTTAGGATTAAACCAGTATAACAAAAAGAATACACACACACACACACACCCCCACACATATATCTCATTATGTTATAACAAAGATCAATGAAAGCATTAAGGAGGGAGAAACTCATTTTGCCTGGGAATATAAGGTAAGATTTGACAAAGAGTTTTTTTGATAATAGAGAAGAGAGAGAACGACATTTTAAATACAGAGATTGGCATCTACCAAAATACAGGACTATAAAATTACCTAATGTTTCCAGGAAAGACCAAGTGGCTGGAATGTAGAGGAGACAGGGCTAAAATTCTAAGAAAATGGGATAAGAAAATTCAGTGGATGCTACTGCAAAGGATCTTCAAAGTCCTACTAAAAGGTATGAAATTCATCTATCAAGTAATCTGAGAAATGACTTGATAAAATCTGTATATGAGAAATACAATTCTGCAAACAACAGAATGGATGAAGTTATGAATAGCAGAAGAAAAAACAAATGGAAAGTCAAATCATTATTTAAAAGTTGGTGTTTTTTAACTCCACAATATCTATATTGTAGACCTTGTTTCACTTAGAAAAACAAAGATTTTCTTCATTTAATATTGAGATATTTTCCACAAAACATGATGTTTGTGGGACTATTTTTCAACTTCTAGAGTTCTGAGTCACTTAAACATAATAAAAAAGATAACGTTGATACATACATGTCATCCCATTAAATACCTTATTTATTTCTGCAGAGAAAAAATAAACACAAAATAATATAAAACTAAAAGAAATGGAAGGAAAATATCTGGTGCCAATCTCTGACACTAGTCAAGTTATTAGCAAAGCCAGCCCTATGTTTTATTATCTGTAAAGTGAATAAGTTAGTTAAAAGACTTCAAAAGTCTCACCCAGATTTAGATTGAACCCTTTATGGGTATTTTAATAAGTTCACTATTAGAAAATTACACAGGTCAACTTAGTTGGCTTGTTCAAGCAAACTATTTTACTTTACCCAAAAAACAGCACATAAATCCTTGATACTAGTTCCAACTTGCAGATCTTTAAGTTTGCTGTCAAACCAATGACGCTGTTTACGTTTCGCAGCTTTTATCCGTGTTGAACCTATATATAAACAAGTAAAAAAACTTATGACATATTCAAATAACTAAAACCCATACATAAAACATACATACACACCCTAATACATTTAGTTGATCCTGAAATGGCAAATGAGTTATTTTTGGACAAGCTAAAGTCAATCTCATTAATTAAAAGACACAATCTTCTAAAACAGTGTTGTCCTGAAGAACATTCTGTAATAATGAAAACTTTCCATATCTGCACAGTCCAATACTGTAGCCACTGTCTACATGTGGTTATTAAATACTTGAAATGTAGCTCCTATGACTGAGTAAATAAAATTTTAATTTATTTTAAAATTTAGCCACACTTGATTTGCTCTAAAATATGAGGAAATAATCTTTGGATATAGCTAAAACTATTTTGTGCCAATGAAATGTACTATAATCAGGAGAGTATTTGATTTCGTTGACTTTAGATGTATTTTTCAGTGTTTCCAAGAAAATTTTAACAGTTATTATTTTATCTTACAACAATTCTAAGGTAGTCAATACATTAAATGCTAGGTAACTAGATTTAAATATGCTTCAGTTTTCAAGACACTGGAAGAACTATACATATAAAGCATTATTAAAAGGAAATAATGAGAAACAAAAATATGCACTAATTATAATGAAATTCTGGGCCAGTTGTGGTGGCTTACACCTGTAATCTCAATGCGTTGTGAAGCTAAGGTGGAAGGATAGCTTAAGGCCAGGAGTTTAAGACCAGTCTGGGCAACATAACAAGACTCTATCTCTAGAAAGAAAAGCAAAAATTTTAAAAACTTGCTGAGCATGGTGGCATGCACCTGTAGTCCAAGCTACTCTGGAGGTGAGGCAGGAGGATGACTTGAGCCCAGAAGTTTGAGGCCGCAATGATCTGTGATCATTCCACTGTACTTAGCCTGAGTGACAGAGGAAGGCCCTGTCTCAAAACTAAATAAAAAGAAGAAGACATTCTGGTACATAAATCCAGTAATATTTGGCTGTAATCCTGATTTATTTGCTTAAATAACACTAGCACTTGACACTGTATCTCTATGACAAACCACTACAGCGAGAGGCATACCCATTTCATAAAAAATGTAGTATAGTCATTCTATGAGAATAAGAACCATAGTGGAAGAAACTACTATCCTCCAATTTAATAAATTACATTTTATAGTCACCTGGCATATTGTGTGGAAAGCATGACAATGGTATTAATGTAAACCATGCAATGAGAGCGGCAGAAAGAAAACGAATCCACCAAGTCCATAGCCATTCTGTACTACCATTTGTGCCTGTAGTGCTTTAATAGAGAAAAATGAAAAGAATAATCAACTTTAGGTATTTGATTACAACAAAACCATAATCAAACAGAGTGGAGAAAGTGAGAGTGAGAGAGGGAGGGTTGGAAAGTGAGACAGAAATGGATTTTTTTGGTTAATTTGTCACTATTGTTTGTTTTGTTGAGAGGGAGTAATTGTGAGTCCCCAATTATGTGCTTGTTTTGTCTTATAGGATCCTAATCTTTTCCCTTTTCCTTCTTTTTCTTGGCACCACTTAGGTAGCAAAAGGTACTTGTTTGTTCCTAGTTAACTTTTTTTCTCCACCAGAAGCTATGTATTTGGAACACTATCTTTTAAAATCTCACCTCTCCTTTAAAAACATTCTTAAAAATCAAGCACTTAGACCTTTATGACACACCTGGCCCTTTATGTTGCACAAGTGAAGCTTTTTATGGCATTTAATCCTTTCAATCACAAATATTTTGAAATCCCTTTCTTCTAGTCCCTTCTGTGAACTTTCAGATTTAGTGTGAATGTATCCTTCTAGTTATTATTCCAAATCACCCTTAGGACCCTTTGCTGTCTTCTGTCTTCTGTGCAATTTTTCTTCATCTGCCTTTGCTCACCATAAAGCCTTACAGTGGGGAAGGTTATATGGGAAAGTCAAGGATTCTATGCTGGGATTTGTTATTATTCTAGATTTACTCATAATTATTTTGTAGTTTAAGCATACTTTGTCTTCGATTAATGCTGAAGCCATGGATTTGTGGAGAGTTTTCATAGTTGTGAAGCTATTCTGTCATTTAAGGAGTAGATTAGGGGGAGTTGATTAATACATAGACACCATTGTCTTCTACTCCACACACATTTAACATCCCCTCCAAACAGCCGCTGTGGGAGAATGCTCACATCCATGGGAACCATAGTTCTGGAAGTGCTGGTTTTTCATTGGTGTTTCTATTACCAACCAAGATCTGGTGAATAACTTGCTTGCAGACCTTGTATTTCATAGGAATGTAGAGAATGTACACTGTCTTATTCACTGATGGGACAACTCATTATTAAGGGTAGAAATTCCAATTTTCCTAGGGTTGCAGTCTTGATTGTCATTACCCACTTGTCATATATATATATATATCTGCATATGCTACACTCAGGGAGTTTCAATTCCATATTGTCACTAGGGGAGTATGTTTCCTCATTGTTTATAATAGTCAGGAGTTTTTTTCACTTTTGAACCCAGCTATGTATTCTAACTATATACATTATATTACATGTGATTATTACATATGTGTATATAATTGTGTACCCAAAAGAGGTAGGGAAATCAACTAAAAAAACTATCAATTGTGATAAACAATATAATGGTTACATATAAAATATAGATATTCCATTCACAATACTAAAAAAATGTATGAAATGCCTAGGAATAGGTTTAATGGAATATGTTCAATAAAGGAAATTATAAATCTTTATTGAAGGGTATAAAAGAACAGAGAAAAGAAAGTAACATACCATATGCATGAAAAGATAACAGTCCTAATGTGGTCCATAAATTCAAGTAATTCAAATCAAAATGCTTTGATTAAAACCTTAGATTATAAAATTTAGATTGAAGAGCCATTTTGCAAACATAGCCCCAATGTTGCATGAAAAACAGTAATAAATGGATATTTCTCCTACCAAATAGCAAACTATACAACAAAGCTTTAGTAACTAAAATATTGTAACATTGGCATGGGAATAGAAATGTGTATCAGGGAATAGATTAAATGTGACAAGAAGGAAATTTACGGATACAGGTAACTTTAATTTATGACGAAGATGGTATTTAATATCAATAAAAAACACATAATGATAGATAAATGTCATCAGTACAATCAGATATCCTCTTGAAGAAAAAAGAGAAGCTTGGCCCATGCCTCTTATATGCAAAAATAAACTGAAATTGAATGTTAAATATCAACATACAAATACATTTACAAAAGTACTAGAAAAAATATAGTCAAATATTTTAATAAGTTTATGGAGCATAAGAACTTCTTGTCCTAGCCAGAGCAATTAAACAAGAGAAAGAAATAAAAGGCATCCAAATCAGTAAAGAGGAAGTCAAACTGTTACTGTTCACCAATGATATGATCATATACCTAGAAAACCATAAAGACCCATTCAAAAAGCTCCAAGAACTGATGAATTCAGTAAAGTTTCAGGATAATGTATCAATGTACATAAATCAGTAGCACTGCTATACACCAACAGTGACCAACCTGATAAACAAATCAAGAACTCAATCTTTTTTACAACAGCTGCAATACAATACAATACAATACAATACAATACAATACAATACAATACAATACAATACAATACAATAAAATACTTAGGAACATACCCAACCAAGGAGGTGAAAGACCACTACCAGGAAAACTACAAAGCACTGCTGAAGGAAATCATAGGTGACACAAATGAATGGAAGCACATTCCATGCTTATGAATGGATAGAATCAATATTGTGAAAATGACCATACTGCCAAAAGCAATCTATTAATTCAATGCAATTTCCATCAAAGTACCAACATCATTTTTCACAGAACTAGAAAAAACAATCCTAAAATTCACATGGAACTGAAAAAGAGCCTGCATAGCCAAAGCAAGACTAAGGAAAAATAACAAATCTAGAGGCATCACACTACCTGACTTCAAAATATACTACAAGGCTGTAGTCAGCAAAACAGCATGCTACTGGTATTAAAATAGGCACATAGACCAATGGGACAGAATAGAGAACCTATAAATAAAGCCAAATACTTGCAACCAACTGATCTTTGACAAAGCAAACAAAAACTTTAATTGGGAAAAGGGCATCCTATTCAACAAATGGTGCTTGGATAATTGGCAAGCAACATATAGAAGAATGAAACTGGATACTCATTACCCATTTATATAAAAATTGACTCAAGTCTTACCTTATTGTCTTACCTTATACAAAAATCAACTCAAAATGGATCAAAGACTTAAATTTAAGACTTGACATCATAAAAATTCTAGAAAATAACATTATAGAAACTCTTCTAGATATTGGCTTAGGCAAAGAGTTAATGAACAAGAATCCCAAAGCAAATCCTAAAAGCAAAAATAAAGATGAGACCTAATTAAACAGAAAAGCTTCTGCAGAGCAAAAGAAATAATCAGCAGAGAAAACAAACAACCCACATTGTGGGAGAAAATATTTGCAAACTATGCGTATGACAGAGGACTAATATCCAGAATCAACTAGGAATTCAAACAAATCAGCAAGAAAAAAAACAATCCCATCAAAAAGTGGGCAAAAGACATCAAATTCTCTAAAGGCAATATATAAATGCCCAACAAACATATGAAAAAATGCTCAATATCACTAATTAGCAAGGAAAGACAAGTTAAAACCACAATGAGATACTACCTTACTCCTGCAAGAATGCCCATAATTAAAAAATAAAAATTAGTAGATGTTGGTGTGGATGTGGTGAGAAAGGAATACTTTTACACTGCTGGTGGAAATGTAAACTAGTACGATCACTGTGGAAAACAGTATGGAGATTTTATAAAGAACTGAAAGTAGAACTACCATTTGATCAAACAATCTCACTGCTGGGTATCCACCCAGAACAAAATAAGTCATTATATGAAAAAGACGCTTGCACATACATGTTTATAGTAGTACAACTTGCAATTGCAAAAATATGGAACCAGCCTAAAAGCCCATCAACAAATGAGTGGATAAAGAAAATGTGGTATATATACACCATGGAATACTACTCCGCCATAAAAAGGAACAAAATAGTCCGGGCACGGTGGCTCACCTGTAAACCCAGCACTTTGGGAGGCCGAGGCAGGGGGATCACCTGAGCTCGGGAGTTCAAGACCAGCCTGACCAACGTGGAGAAACCCCATCTCTACTAAAAATACAAAATTATCCGGGCGTGGTGACACATGCCTGTAATCGCAGTTACTTGGGAGGCTGAGGCAGGAGAATTGCTTAAACCCGGGAGGCGAAGGTTACAGTGAGTCGAGATCGCACCATTGCACTACAGCCTGGGCGACAAGAGCAAAATTCAGTCTCAAAAAAAAAAAAAAAAAAAAAAAAAAAGGAACAAAATAATGGCATTTGCAGCAACTGGACGGAATTGCGCATGTTCTCACTCATTAGTGGGAGCTAAGCTATGAGGATGTAAAGGCATAAGAAGAAATGTAATGGACTTTGGGGACTTGCAGGGGAGGGTAGGATGGGGGGTGAGGGATAAAAGACTACACATTGAGTACAGTGCACACTTCTCAGGTGGTAGGTGCACCAAAATCTCAGAAATAACCACTAAAGAACTTATTCACATAACACCTGTTCCCCCAAAACTATCGAAATAAAAAAAACAGAACTTCTTAAGAAAGAAAGAACATTCAAAGTTTATGGAAAGAAAAATATTGATATATTTGATGATATAAAAACTTTTAAAGTTTGTATAATATACCATATACAAAATTTAAGGACAGATTGGGAGAAATTATTTGTCATACGTCTAGCAAACAATTCATATCCATAATAAGTGAAGAATTTTTATAAATCTATAAGAAATAATGAACCAATATAAAAATAAGACAGAATATAAGCAGCAATTTCAAAAAAATACAGAAGGCTAACATACATACTGAGTTCTAATAATACATTCTCTTTGAGTAATTTAATAAAAGGGACTATTTAAGGGACATAAGGAAAGTTTAAAGAAATCTGAATAGGAAGAGATGATATCCTGGGTCTTGCAACAGAAGACAGCCATTACCACCTGAAAAGGTGCCTGAAGAGGCAAGAGGAGACAGAAGTTAAGTGAACTCTACAGGTGGTTGTATCAGAGGGTCATAAGACAAATGTAGCCTTTATTAAAGAGACACCACCAAGCCATTGAGATTCATCAGGAAAGGAGAGGAAAGAATAAATATCCAGATTTAAGTTTCCTCAAGCTCTCAGATCTCTTGCCAGTGCTCTTCA